CAAAAGTATTACCATCATTAAATTATAAGATTTCTTAAAATGTTGGTAACACTGGGACATTTTACACGCTTGTACTTAGCTTTTTATTGTGTCGAGCAGTGTAACATGGTGTCACTGTTGGAATAGTTCGTGTTGAACACAGTGTCACACTGTGTCATCTGTGTAACTTGTTGGAAAACACCCATTGCTTACAAACATCATATCGGAAGAGTTACGCAGATGTTTATATTTTAGAATCAAGAATATACCTTATACTTTGCACAAAGTATTTCTTAACAGTCCTCACGTTAAAACTTACAACTTACAACACGTTCACGATATCACGTTACGCAGGTTAACAGTCGTAATGCAGTATAGTTGAGTATAAGTATAGCCATAGGCCATAGCATAGCGTGGTATAGTGCCTTCTCTTTTGCTTACTCCCTGTCTCTCCCTATCTTAGTATGTTCTTTCTTTCTCACACTTCCGGGTTTACACCAGGCGACGGAACTAATCAGAAATCGTTAACATTCTGCCGATCTCTCCTTTAAGAATCTCTAGCGCTAGTTAGACCGGATCTACAATAGGTGTAGTAAGCTTTAGGCCGTAAGAAATTGTCCATTCACAGACGAATGTGTAAAGAATAATTGACTATGATTGGTCAATATCTTATGGCTTAAAGCTTACTACACCTATTGTAGATCCGGCCTTAGGAGCGGCACACAATCGACCTCCTGGGCATCGATCATATAATTTTTCCCTAGGAGCGGAAACGTGAAAAGTGAAAGGGCGGTATTCATAGTCCGTTCTTATATTCAAGATCGTCTTAAGCACGAACTTATATTCGCTCTCTTTGTCAGACACAATCTATGTGTGACGAAGAGAGCGAATATAAGTCCGTGCTTAAGACAATCTTAAATATAAGAACGGACTATGAATACCGACCAAAGTTTCACGTGAATTCGACAATGGCCTAGTTTACACCGATTGTTTAGTACGCGTACCAAATACTAAATCTGCTTCTCCGATAGGTATAAATCGTTTAGTGTAAAATCTACACCAATCAAAAAAGCTGATTTAGTACTTGGTACGCGTACTAAACAATCGGTGTAAACTAAGCCAATTCTATTGTTGAATTCACATAAAAGTTTTTATTTTTCACGTTTTTGCTTCAAGAGAAAAATTACATAATCGATGCCCTGATTGCAACTTCCATTTCTAAAAGGAAAACAGAGTTACGACTCTTGGTAATCTGTGTTATTGATGTTTAAAGTGTAACGATTTTATTCATATTTTATTTATCTAATTTAGAATTAGTGTCATTTAGTTTCTTTAGGTTAGTATTTTTAAGTATTTTGAAAAACATTTAAAATTACTTTTCTAACTACTTACTTTTAACTATAAATTTTTATTTTTATATGTCTATGGATATATGATATGGTATGTTTTTAATTATGCTTGTGTACTTTTCTTTCTACTTTATATATACTTTGCTAAAATTGTTATTTTAAACAAGAAAACATGAAAACAAGAAAATAGCATAAATGTATAAAACATTTTTTTGATGAAACTTATTGCACATTTTTATGAATAATTATTTATTGAAAGTGCTGTTTTTTGAGGTTAAGAAATCTATTATATAAACACATGCAATATTATAATCAATATAGCCTTAGTGCATTTAGTTAAATAACGATTTATTTGATCATATTTATTATGAATATTCAAAAATTAACAATTTTTTAAATTTAAGTTGTGTTAAATTTTTTAAAGAATTTTTTTTTAATTTTAGCTAAGTATTAAATAAAACGACATATTTAAACATTTATTATATTTTAATTTATTTAATGTAATTATAAAAAAATTGTAAATATGAAATATTTATAATTGTACTATCGAATAGCACTATCGACATGTAACACCTAGTTAATACTAATGATACATTTTTAATTGTATCGTTTTAATTATATTTATTATTTTTAGAAAAAATAATTTATTATATAGTAAGAAAAGAATATTACAAATATTGAAAGAAAATTTTGAATTACTTATCATAGTTTTTATATAAAAACAATGAATAGAACGCAATTTTTGATGGACTTGACATGTAAATTGTAAAAATGTGTTAACAGTAATGCGCAATATGTAATATGTGTGTATTTGTATAACTGATTGATTCATGTTTACATGAGCCCCTGAATAGGTAGAAACAAAAATTTACTATTTCACACAATAAAAAAATCTATTTGTGAACTTTTGCTTTTTTGTTAGTTTTTTTATTTATAATATACTGTAATTTCACATTTCAAGACATTTTAATTAAATTACTTGAAGTTTTTCTGCTATTATGCAATTTAACTTTTTAATGATACAGCACCTTAAAATCTGAGATAATTCTATTATGATGTATGAGTGTTTTGTAACATGAGTAATTTAAGGAATGGACTTAATATTTAGAAACGATAAGTTCATATAAAGATACATATTTAAAAAATGCAGTTTACATGCAAATGCATTGATGCACATGTAAAAAAATCGTTATTGGATTGATGAATTACAAAAGTTTATGTTATTGTTTTCAAGTATTGAATTTATGTTTTTACAATAACATTCTATTCTAAACATTCTATATTAAAATAAAATAAACTTTTATAAACTGTAATAAACATTTTTAGTAAATAGATATATTATTTTACTATATAAGCAAGATATATTATTTTAATTTATAATTATTGATTTTATTTACATAATATAATATAATATCTTAATATATATCATAATATAATATCTTCTGTTAAATAAAAACATACACTTTATGTAACGACCTATGTTCCTTCATGTTTCAATTTTATTATATCATATATACATTCTTTTCACAAGATTGTTTCTAAAATGTTAGTATTTATAATATTGCTATAAAAACTTTAATATTATAGAATTTTTTTGTAATAACTAATTGTTCTTTCTGTAAAAACTAACGTAATATATAATTATAATTATAATATTTAATTATTATTGGTAATTTTTTTTTTGCTTTTAAGTTGGTTATGTAATTAAAAGTATATCAATTTAATAATATATCTTGATTATGTCAAATAGATTTTTAATTGTTATGAACAATGATATATGTATACTTTTACAGGATGCTCACAAGTGCCTTGACAGAAAAATTGTCTTCGAATTGTTATGAAATTGATAACAACAGATGGTATTTAACCCTTTCCCTAAATCAAAGGAGTTAAAAAAATATTTTTGAGCCTCTCCAACATCTTAAAGAGGTTTTTAGGGGAAAAACTTGTTTTTTTATTCTTTAAAATTTTTGAGTTATAAGAAGTTATTTAAATTCCTTTAAAACTTGCAGAAAGATTGGTACGCACTTGATACGCAATTGAAACTTGGTACGCACAATTAATCAGTACACAATTTTAAAGCTAAAAATACAAATTAATATTTATTTTCTGCTATCTACCTTGCAGCTTGTATCTTATCTATTTTACCAAACCATTTGCAAATGAGGAACGCATTTAATATGTTAATAATTTTAAGCGAGTGCCATGGAAATTATTTTGCAGCGTAACGACTCTCTTCTCATGCCTTCGTTGTTTTCGTTGCATTTGCATTTGAAAATGGCATGATAAGAGAGATGAGACACAAACTATACACAAACATGAGATAAACTACGAGTAGCAGAAATAAATATTAAATTGTATACATTGTTTTTGTTTTTAGTTTTATGGAATAAGATTACGAGTTATTGCACGCAAAATTTTACGAGTCTTCCCGCAAATCTTAAAGGAATTAACCCTCTATAACTTGAAAATTTTCAAAAATTAAAAGAAAATTCTAAAAGTAAGATAGTTATTTTTGTGCTTTTTTCAAATTTAAAACACATCCTTTCCATTAAAAAATGTCAAGAAACAGATTAATAGGTTTATATTAAATAAAAGAAGATCTTCACGGTACAAGGCGTTTGTGAACATTTTCTATATACATTTATACAGGGTGTACCATAACATGGTCTATGTATCAATTTAAACTTACATTTCCAGGTAGAAATTGCATATAAGGAAACAGAGTCTCGGCTCAAGTTAGAATTTCTAACCACTATCTAGGCACAGGCTTGAAAACCAAGGTTGGTCTATAAGCATAAATGTTATGTATATATATATATGCTAGATGCGATCTAAGCAAAGAAGCTTGACATGAGCTACTAATGCAAGCTTCAAACATTTTTTTCGTCAACTGCCGGGTACAAACTTACAATTTTAGATTTATCTAGTTTAATAATTACTAATAATATTTTTTTATTTTTTAATTTGTGTAATAATTTTCAGACGTATAAATGTTTTATAATATATTTTTTATTGTTTGATATACGTTTATGCAGGGTGTTTTATTTTAAGTGATACAATCGATTTTCTTGAAAATAAAGCATTTTCAAGAAAAATGTTCCATATGAAAGTTGTAGAGTTTTAAGTGGCGCATTATATAGCAATATTTGTGTGACCTTGAGATAGTATTGTTAAGGTCGCATAAAAATTACTTTGAAATTTTTTAATAAAAATCCCTATTTTTGATTACATATTCTTGTAGCTGCTGTATATCAAGCAATAAAAAATATATTATAAAACATTTGTACGTCTGAAATTATACAAATTAAAAGATAAAAAATATTAATTTTTATCGAAAGTTTATTATCAAGCAAATAAACTATGCAATAAAGTATAATAATAAAGTTAAATATTTAATTGTTACCTGGAGAAATGTAATATACAGGGTGTCTCAGTAACTCTGTTACAAGGCAATATCTCCGCTACCGTTAATGATACGCGGAAATGCTTAAGGAATAAATTGTTTGGTTTGAAGGGACACATGTTATGGTGAGAATCATTTTTTTCTCAAGGTCATATTTTTAGAGATTTCAAGGCCATTGATGTTTTTCTAAATAGGACTACATATTTTTATTATTATAGCGTAATAGCTGAGATCAGGACGAATCCAATGACCTATAATACCATGATCTTCACGTGACCTTGAATACGTAAAATTCAGAAATTTTTGGGAATGAATGCGAATGAAATAGCTACAATAGAAAGATTAATAAAGGAAAATTTATTGTAATAAGTGTTCAAAATTATTTCCATTGACTTCTAAACATTTGTTAATTCGATTATGAAAAGAGCGCCGCACATTTGCGAGCATTTGGGATATTACAGCAGCACAAGCTTGTCGGATTCTTTCTTTTATTTCGTTATGTGTCGTAGGTTTCGTCGAAAAAACTTTCTCTTTGATAAAATCTCGTAGAAAGAAATCTAGAGAATTCATATCAGAAGAACGTGGCGACCAGGGAGTCAGACTTCCTCTTCTTATCCATCTGTTTGAATATAAAATATTCAATACATTGCGAGAAGAATGAGCGTAATGTGGCGGTGCGCCGTCTGTTGAAACCACATAACCAGACGTAAGGAAAGGGGAATATCTTCTAATAATGATGGAAGTGTATTAAGCAAGTTTGTGTACGTATTGCCATTAAGAGTCGTATAAAAAAAATGTGGTCCAATTAGGTAATCACCTAAAATATCACACCATACATTCAACGACCAATTAAAACTGCACAGTTTGCATCCACCTAGGATTTACTGGAGACCAGTAATGCATATTGTGTCAATTCATTCCAATATTATTAAATGTAGCTTCGTCTGAAAAAAGTATTTTTGATAAGAATGTATCTTCCCGAGCTAATTTTTCTTCCAATTACAAAAATTCACTCTCTGGATAAAATCATTTCCAATCATTTCTTGATATAAAAAAATATGATATGAGTGCATCCTATTATTACGTAAAATCCTTGAAATAGAAGATCTACTGATATCACTATCTCTACTCTCTTAATTGTCTAGTAGACAGGTGTGCGACGCTCTTTTGAATTAGCAAATGTTTAGAAATCAATGGAAATAATTTTGAACACTTATTGCAATAAATTTTCTTTTACTAATCTTTCTATTGTAATTATTTCATTATTCACATTCATTCCCAAAAATTTCTGAATTTTTCGTACTCAAGGTCACATGAAGGTCATAGTATTTTAGGTCATTGGATTCGTCCTGACCTCAGCTATTACGCTATAATGATAAAATTATATAGTCCTATTTAAAAAAACATCAATGACTTTGAAATCTCTAAAAATATGACCTTGAGAAAAAAAATAATTCCCACCATAATATGTGTCCCTTCGAATCAAACAATTTACTTCTTAAGCATTTCCGCGTATCATTAACGGTAACGGAGATATTGCCTTGTAACAGAGTTAATGAGACACCCTGTATATTGATCCCTATCATAGTTTGTGGAAATTTCATTATTATTTAAATCTTGATTAATTTATTTTTTTCTTTAAACCACTTTTTCTTTTTCAAAGCTCGATACTTTCTCATTTTTATCTTGGATAAGTTTATCTTTTTTTGCCTGATTGTCCATTTATCGATGACTTGAATATTCTACAGTATAAAAGTATCACTATTGTATATATTTCCAGTATTTTTATTTAATTTTGTCGTAAAATATGTAATTAATTATCTTACAGATAACCGTAGATAACTGTCATTTACAGTCAATTACTCTGAAGGAAACCGATGAATACTCTTATGTAGCCAAATGTCGCATTAACTTTCGAAAACTGTCTAAACACAATAAAACACAATAAAAAATTTTGGGAATATAAGAAGTATAGATTTTTAGAGTTAAGTCTAGCTAGCTGCGAGATTTCCGTATATCTCATAATCAACTCTCAATTGTGGTGGAATATACATTGCTGGTAACAGCCAGTCAAATTTCGTCATTAAGTTTTATTTTGCGAATAATAACTTAGCTAATGCCAAGTAAACATAAAATCAATTTCTCGAACATTGAAAAATCGAGCTAGGGCTAATGTTTAATTTCATTTTGCCTAAATATATTTCTACCTGGGTTGTGCTACTTTTTATCTCATGTTTTATTTTTTTTTTAGATTATTACAATTCTGGAATTTGTTAGTGCAGTTATTTTTTTTTAAAAAAGAGAATGCCAATAGATCAGATTCAGTATTCTGAGAAATACAATGATGACAAATACGAATACAGGTAAGTTTGGATTATAAACTAAAGATATATAGCAGCAAAGTTATTATATTACGCACTTATATTTTGTGTTATAACTTTATTATTGTGAACTAAATTATACAATAAAAAATTTATAATGTACTATCCCAGAACATAGCTAACACAATAACGTTTTAAAAATATGTTCAAAATGTATATACATTGGATGTTTTGCACGTACTTAAAACATCCAGATTACAGTTTCAGACATTTTTAGGATATTTTAAAGATGTTCAATTTCGGAAAGAAAATGGTCAAACTATGCAAGAAGTTATTTTCCAATATTTAAGATAAGAATTATTAATTGTTGAATTTGCCCAACGATGGATTATTTGCTTTAATCAATCCTTGATTGTAGAATTAATTATATTTACTGTGCTATTTGGTACATATCGTTAAACATAAACGTTAAAACGTTAAAAAGTAAACTGATAAAGACATAGGATGTCTAGATGTTTGAGCACCATGCCTATTGGTAAAAAATCTATAATTTTTTGGTTAACTTATTTATTATATGAACCATCAAAGATATCTAATTGTCGTCAAAATATCAAACATAATCGTAAATCATGATACTCGAATATCTGGACACGATGCGCATGATCCGAAAAGTCTTAATCCCGAATTATAAAACATTATTGATGTCGTATAATAGCAACATTTATTTATTTTTATTCTATAATTTGTTTTAATGAAGTAATCAAACATCAATAAAAATCAATAATAGAAGGCAGTAGAATCCGAAGCATGGTTGTAGCGCAAAAACTAATATAAATTAATATGCAAAAAATGCAAAAAATACATTTTGGCCATAATTTTGGGCCCTTTTTAGTTTAATAGGATATAAAGAAGAAGGAAAGAAACGATTATTGATTTTAAAATATTTATTTGTTATCTTAATGCACTCTTTTCTTGTTTAAAGTTTTCTTGTTTAAAAAGATTATTTAGGATAGTCGTTGGTTCTTTTACTAACATCCTTTATCTTCATCAGATTATTTTTTAACTTTTTAACGATAGGTACCATGTATGATATAAATTTTTTAATGATGTGTACCATATGAGCCTAAAAAGTTTTAATTATGTTACTTTTAAATAGGCATGTGATACTACCAATTGATCTAGCCAGACACGTTCCAAAGACTCATCTGATGACAGAATCGGAATGGAGGAATTTAGGGGTTCAACAAAGTCCTGGATGGGTTCATTATATGATGCATGGGCCAGGTATAATTTAATAAATAAATTTATTAATGTACAAATATTATTTTATATTATATTATATTAAATATATTTATTACAAATATTATAGACATCTTAATTATATATCTTAATTATATCTTAATTATATATCTTAATTATAATTATTTATAATTACACAGATTTAAATTTTTCTTTTTTAGAACCACACGTTCTATTATTTCGCAGACTAAGAAGCGATCTAGTGATAGCGTCCAGTTGTACCGCTTTACAAAGGGAACAAACTATGCTTTGTTGTAATTGAATTTGATGAATGATGTGTAAATAATTCAGTATAAGATAATATGCAAATGTGACCAAAAAAAATGTATAAATTGTATTCTGCTATGTTTATAAATAATTATTTAAAAAAGAAAAAAAGAAATAAATATAACAATAGCATAATGTGAACATATGTTTAATGTTTTTGTGTGTATATGCATAATATCATTTAAATTATACATTAGTAATTAATATACTTTCTTATTTTTTCTACTCTTTCTTGCTCGTAAAAGATAAAATAAAAATTTATAATAGTATAATAATTTTTATTATTATATTTATATAGTATATATATAAATTTATTATTTAATTTGTATATTTATAAATATAATATACAACATGACTTTACGGATTTTTGGATAAAAAAACACATTGATTTGGAACATAAAAATCATTTTTATTTTATTCAAAGTATGCTCCATCAGAAGCTACAATCTTGGCCCATCTTTCGGGCAATAAACGGATTCTACGCTGGTAGAAGTCTGGTTGTTTTGAAGCGGTCCAGTTATCAAGGCAATTTTTGATTTCTTCATAAGAATTGAACCGCTCTCCAGAAAGAGCTAACGTCATGGACCGAAACAAATAGTAATCCGAAGGAACAATGTCTGGTGAATACGGCGGGTGAGGTAGAATCTCCCAGTTCACTCCTTCTAGATAATTCTTGACGGATACACGAACATGTGGTCTAGCGTTGTCATGCTGCAAAATCACCTTGTCATGTCTATTCTCCCATTCCGATCGTTTTTCCTTCAGAGTTCGGTTCAAACGTATTAATTGTAGTTGATAGCGTTCACCAGTGATAGTTTCAGACGATTGCAGCAGCTCATGATACATCACACCCTTTATATTCTACCAGATACACAGCATAACCTTGCTGCCATGGATGTTTCGCTTTGGCGTTGATGGACCTGGTTCACCTGGCTTAACCCATGCTGGTTTGCGTTTAGGATTATCGTAGTGAATCCACTTTTCATCACCAGTAATAATTCGATGTAAAAAACCCTTTCTTTTTTGTCGTTGCAGCAACAATTCGCACATGGTTTTTCTTCTTTCAATGTCTCTTTCTTTCAATTCGTGTGGCACCCAATTTCCTTGCTTTTGAACCATTCCCATTGCATGCAGACGTAAGGAAATGCATTGTTGAGTAACATTTAATGCTGTTGCCAATTCCTTTTCTGTTTGACATGAATCCTCGTCAAGTAATGCTTCCAATTCTGCATCTTCAAATTTTTTCGGTGGTTTTCCATGTTCTTTATCATCCAAATTAAAATCATTGCTTCTGAATCGTTTAAACCATTTTTCACCCATGCTTACCGATGGAGCATGTTCTTTGTAAGCTTCCACAAGCAAACGATGACTTTCAGCTGCACTTTTCTTTAAAAAAAAATAATGAAGCAAAACTTTACGCAAATGACGTTTTTCTGGTACAAAATTCGACATTTTCAATGTGATAAAAAAAATATTTGCACTTCAATTAAATGACATATACTACGTTTGAAAGCTGACATACAGATCTTTTAAATACATATATTGCCAGCTTCATGTAATGCCGAGAGTACGTCTTATGCAATTCTATTGAAAATCCGTAAAGTCATACTTGTACACCCAATACGAATATATCAATATACAAAATATTATTTAATTTTGTATATTTACATTATTATGTAAATTTTTATGTAAATTTTTTTATATATTGGGTGTTTTATTTTAAATGCCGCAAATAAATATCTTGAAAATTAAGGACTATACGAAAAAGTGGGAAGTTTGCCCCCGTTTGCCTACAAGTTTATTGCCAATAATATCATTTGCCGACATTTCATTTGCGTGCAAAGTTTATTGTCTACAGATCGTATGCCTACAAGCACTATTGCGTACAAATAAAAAATTAATAGACGAACGCACGCTTGCACACATGACACTATTGAGTACAAGTCACATTACACACATAATATTATTGCCTACAGATCGATTGCCTATAAGCTCTACTGCTAACAAATAAAAAATTAAGAGACGAACACATGTTTGCACACACGATACTATTACAAGCCGCATTGTACACTTGATATTTTTACTATATTATATTATATTAAGTATATTATATTATTAGGTATTATTAGGTATATTATATTACTTTATTATTATATTATATTATATATTAAATTATGTTATACTATACAGGGGCTGCGTTCCAAAATTCACTGCTGAAATTCAGTACTGAAAATCTACAATATACGTAACGTAAACTGCAGATTTTCAGTACTGGCAGTGAATTTCGGAACGCAGCCAGGGTGTCCCACCAAAAGTAGTCACCTCCTTTTATCTTTTAAATTAAAAGAGATAGATCATAACAAATATATATCAAATTAAATGGTTCCAACTGAACTCTATTGTGAGCATAATAGTTTCTTACAAAAGCTAGCCGTGTTAACGAACGGAGAGATATACATAAATTTTTTTAATAATGTAGGTATTTTGATGTAAGAAAAGTTGTAGCGCTGTTCAAAAAGAATACAATGATGTATGATTTAATGTAAATATTTTACATCCCATACAGCACACAAAGATTGCATACACATTGCATCAATCTTTCATCGCAATGTTGCAATATTGCAAATTCACTGCAAAATGTTGTTGCATCATTGCTGTGGGATTGCAGCAACGTTAAAATGTCCGCTTTTAGGAAGATTGTAACGAAATATTACAGTAATATTGCAATGTAATGAATTTGCAATAATGCATTGTTATTGCAATTTTAGAATAATGTTGCATATATTTTTATTTATTCGGACATTTATCTGTCCGACTTCTGAACAATCAATTCAATATCTGAATTCCCTGTGTTGAGGTCGTATCAGAAAAATTAAACTGATAAAAATAATTACTATGTCTTTAATCTTACTAGCCACTCTTTGCAAGTTTCATATAATCATCATGACTAAAACTTAAATACGAGATAGATTTTGCAACGCGCGTCGCATAGCGGTAAACAAACGAACTAGCGATTACCGAATATTGCTATTGCAATGTTATTGGAATGTTGCTGTCACGTTCTCATGAAATATTACAATATTACAGGTTGCAATAATGTCTCAACAATATTACATTGCAACTTGCAAGATTGTAACATTGCTGCAATGTAATTGCAATGTTCTGTGCTGTATGGGATATTATACGAGTTTTATCGGCTTGAAATATCGCGGGCAACGTCTACCTTTTCACTTTCGGCACTGCGATATGGCCAACTTCTGACTCATGCGTTAGAGATTGACGTATGTCAATAATTGAAGTTGTAGCGCTGTTATTAAGCTTAATTATTAATTAATTATTAAAGTTGGCATGGATCCTCAACTTGCTACAAAAATAGTTTTTTTCGGATAAAGCGACATTTGAGCTGAATGGCAATGCATTGACCGCGTTGCCTCATTCTCTTTCTCTCTTACTCTATTGTAACTTTCAAGCCTTATAACTCGAAAAGTTTTTAATGAAAAATAACTTCATTATAGTATTTTGAAAAGCTCTCGAGATCGACTACAAGAATATGTAATAAAAAACGGGGAAGTAAAAAATTCAAGGTAACCTTGTCCTGACCTTGGTGACGCCATTCAAGATCAAAATGATAAGATCAATAAATAGATCTTTCTAAATCCTACAACTTTTATCTGAAACAGTTTTCTATAAAACTTATATTTTTCGAGATATTTCGGAGTCTCTGTATTTTTTTCTCACTTTGTATATGCATACATATATACAGGGTGGCCCAATGAAAAGTTTCCATCCCAATTATTTAGGAAATCAGCAATTTTTTTCAAAAAACGCCAAAACAGGTCAATTTTGTTTTCGAGGGAGATGTATAAGTACAATAAATTCAACGTTACTACTTCATCCCTTTCGTCGGGGTAGTTTTTCTTCCATAAAATTATTATATAATCCTTTAACCATCTTATATTCAATTTGATCTAATCCAGGAGATGACTTTTCCTTTACATTTCTGCAAGCCCGTATTAATCCCTCCATTATAAATGGTCGATCAAAATCGCTTTCTACTTTATTTTCTTGTCTTTTATTTCCTCCTTATCTTCCATCTCGTTATTAACCTAACGGTGGAGGGCTATTTCATTAATTTCTTTTTTGATGGTATTAGTACTATCATTCAATTACCACTTATTCCATTCAATGCAATTTAAACTGTTTTTAATAATCTTTATTTTATTCCATACGTATTTAATGTTTGTGTGTTTATTTAGGCTACTAGCAAAATTTCGGAAACTTTCTTTTTCTGCCTTATAGTTTTACGCGCTACTGATCTTTTGTATTCTATAAAACTTCAAATCTTGTTTTTTAATATTCTTTTTCAGATTCTCTTTTCTCTCTTTGATAGCTTTTTTACACTCTTCGTCCACCACATCACAGGGTTTCTCATTTTTCTATTACTTTTCTTCCTGATTATTTCCTTTGTTTTTTTTGTTTCCCTCCTCTTATGTTTTTAATAGTCTTAAAACTTTGTAGACGCACTGTGTATGTCAAAATCAAAGTCATTGTAAAACATAATTACCAAAGGTAATACTAACATAAGTAATAATACTAATTTAACTAATAAGTTATCAATAAAAGACAATTGTAATAGTAACAGCATTATAAATAGCGAGTTATTTTCTAACTTTGCTTTAATGTAAATTAAAAAACATTTTTAGAAAGACATTTAATTGAGTTTGTTTGTTAGTGGAGAATATGAAGATATGCACCGATATCGTCCATTGAAATGAGTAATCGTTATTGGCCTAGAAGAAGTTTTGTCAAGCACAAATAATGCGATCGAAGCGTGACATCGTCAATTTAACATGTCCGCAGGTCACGGAATATTCCATGTTTTTAACTTGATGATTATCCGTAACTCACGGGTTATTCCAGTTCTAGATTCTAATTATCTTTGGCTTGCAAGAATTATACATATATGCTTGGTGTCTCATTTTATATAATGCTCTTAAATTTTGTATAAACAAGACATGTTTAGGAAACAAGTTTGAGATGAAATGTCCAGGAGACATAAGATGATAACTTTAGTTTAACCTTAAGTTTTTTTTAATTAAAGCTAGGTCAAGGTC